GAGGTTACATATATATTAACAAATGAAAATGAAATAATAATTGATTATCGAGCTTCAACTAATAAATCAACAATATTAAACATCGCAAACAATGCTTATTTCAACTTAAATGGCGAGGTATATTTGTCGTGCGCAATTTTATTGCTTTGCAAGAAAGCATTTTAATTTCAAGCTTAATTAGCTTGTAAACAAACAATTGCAAATTGACTTACTGGACGGTGCAGCATTAACAGGTATTAACTGGAATCCAGTACTAACTGAATATCATAAAAGTCAGTGCATTTTCTAATATTAGCTAATTAATCGTTTACTTCATTTATCTTTTATGCATGGTTGTTAGCAAATTAAACATTTTTATTTACGCATTAATAATTTAAATTTTATAACAACATGATGAATTGAAAATGCAACATAACAAATTGTACATCGAAAATTAAATTATTAATTGAATATTAGTTAAAATTTCCAGTTAATTTAAACATTAACTTAATGTTTAAATTAAATTTATGCTGATTTTTCATATTTATTGATCCGTACCCAATACAATTTAAAAGTTTAAATCACTGCTGATAATTTCCACTTTTTTCTTGATTTAATTTCCAAATTTTTAAAATGGTTTCCTAATTTCTATTCAACATTTTTAGCAATTAAATCATTAATTAGTCATTAATGCAAAGTTTTGTTTATTTAATTCTTTTTTAGGGAAAGTCGTCATTAAGCGATCACATTATACAATTGTGCACTCCAAATTATCTTCCAGCAGATGAGAATGGTTTTGCAACAGGTAAACTAATTTCATATGACAATGTTTAAAAAAAGTTCAGCTGGAGAATATTTATCTATCTTGAAATAAATTAAATCAACTTTAAACCATAAGTTATTTGAAATTACTTTTGAAAAAAAAAAATAATCTAGCTTAAATATTAAATAATAAAATGTCTACCTTATAATTTGAAGTAATTAAAAATCATTCTATATTATTTTTTTCTTTTCATGAACAATTACGAATGTTAATGATAGTCGATTTAATTTCCTTGTTGAACGTAAAATATCAGATTTATTGGATAATGATAACAATCAATTAGATTACAATCACGATTTCTGTTTTGAAATAGATGAATTAAATACATCTCGGAAAATTCGACATATTGCCAGGTTTTTGAAATTTTTTTTTTTTTTTTTTAAATTATATTTTGCAACCTTTGTTTTCTTTTTTTGCCATAACAGAAAAGAAAGAAAAAGAAAATTATGTTTAATTACTAAATGGTTTTTTGGATTTTTACAATTTCTCTTTTTGCATTTTTTTTTTTTTTTTTGTTCTGCGAGTGTTAATTAATTAGCACTTAATTATGCCTATAAGTAATTATAGTGTCGCATCTACTTCAAGTGGCATTAAGATGACAGTTTCTACGACATATCCATGTGTACATGTTAATATGGGTTCCTGGTTGAATAATCTTACCGGTAAAGCGAATCACGTTTACGAACGTTATTCGGCGTTCACGTTACAATGTCGCGGTCTAAGTGATGCAATAAATCAAGTACGTTAATTTTGCAGTATAAATATTCATACAAACAATTAGAAGAAATAATTATATATGAAATAATTATATTAAAAAAATTATATTAAATTAATTTATTGAAACACTTATCAATGTATAATAATTTCTAATTACTATAGCTTTAATTATTAAGGAATTAATTATTAAAATTAATTATTAAGGAAGTATTGTATTACATAATTTCAGAAATATTTTTTAATAAAATTTTATTTTAAGCAAATAATCTTTTGCTTCTTTGATTTAAATTATTTAATCTAATTTGTTAATTAAGATTTGACATTTTTTTCTTGTTACATTTATTTTAATTTTATCTAATGGTAAAATGTTAAAAATAAAAATATACTTCTACTTATTATTCAACAATTTGTTATGTGGAATAAATTTTAACATTTTCACTACCATTATTCTATTATCACTATCATTGTTATCACGATCATTATCACTTAATATTATCACTATTATTATAACTAGAATATCATTTTTACATATATTTCAGCCACACTTTCCCACAATTATTTTACGACCAGATGAGCTGTACCAACACCTTACTGTTTATCGATTTGGACTTGTTGACGAATAATTTCTACGAGCACACTAATTGATCTCATCATTGTTTATTTATCTTATATTCATAGATTATTAATAAAAAATTTATGTTCAAAGTTTTACTAAATTTAGTATAAAATTGTAGTTTGAAATAAAAAGTTCAGATCAAAGTATACTTAATTTCGATTTCAGCTACAAAACTGGCAAGAAATTAACTGTCAACTAATTCATTAATTCGATTAAATCAACAAATTAAACAATTTTATAATTATTTTTAAAACAAAATGCATAAAGAGTATTGTTATCGAAACCGGAATGTGATGTCACTAAATATGCATGCCGGAACCGGAATGATGTGTCGTTTGTTAAAGTTAAATTGATATAGCGTGGTAATCGTGACATTCAATGCATTGCATTGATACATTAAGCATAGCTAATTTACTAATTCGGCAAATTTGTTGACATTGAGAAGAAAACATGTTATATCATTTGTTCTTTGATCATTTGGATAACTGATTTCAAGTTTTTAATTTTAAAGGATAAAAAAAAAAGTTTAGAAATAAATAAAGCAGTTGAAGATTGATTTCCTTATTCAATATTTTCTTCATATTTAATTTTATAGCAAGTGAAATATGAAAAAGAAAACACAAAATAAATAATAGAAAAATAAAAGATGAACTGTTTCAAATTTGTTTCCCATCTTTTACAATTAAAATTTAAATATTTTCCAACAAAAAGAAAAAGTAAATCTATTTGAATTAAATTTTTTATCAGTTAATTACTAGAAATTTAATGTTTTTTTGAGGAATACTTAAAATGTTCTGCATGAAAAGCAATTTAGGCGAAGTGCGATTTTGCATGCAGAGAAATTTTGCATGCAATGCAGCAAATGAGCATAAAATCCCATTATTTTTATTACGACGAATTTTGTTTATACTTTAAAATGAATTGCATCAAATCATTTGTTCTAATAAAAAAAAAAATTAGAATGATAAAATAAATTGACAAAATGAAGAATTCATATAATTTGAGCTATTTTTTTACGATTTTTACAAATACTAATGCTATGATTTCTTATTTTATATTTACAACTATAATTATTGTTAAAAATTTAATCGAAATAATTTAATTTTATTATTTTGAGTAAATTTTAAGTTATGAAACTAATTTGGATTAATCACATTGAAATTTATCTATTTATAATATCGTTTATACTAACGTTTGCATTTGAAATATCACAGTAACGTAAAAAATCTCGTAATGGACTACTGCTATACGTTCTATCTAACACGTATTTATTCATAATAACGTGTATAAGAAAGAATAATATACGTAAGTATAAAATTTAATACAACTTTGTCAGGTTTTGTAATATTTTATTTTGTTCTAAAAACAGTAATGATATGTCAAAGATATCACTGTGACAAAGCAGCAGTCCTGATCTATTGCTTTCGTTCTGTCTTTCCAGATTAAGCGTTGTATTTCCGTAAATAGGATTCTCTCATTCTCCTACATAAAGTTTATATATTTTTTGGGATAGTATGCGGGTTGAGATCCAGTCAGCCAAAAAATGTGTTAATTAACAATATGCTTGCCATCTAAGTTTGAAACAATTTTCGTTATCTTGGACAAGAATATTTTGAAAGACATTTTTTAATCGAATGTCTCAAAAAATATATTTTATGTATGATTTTTTTACAGTCTGTATAAAAGGTAGACAAAAATTTATGTGTGATTTCACTTTATTATATACTGAGGAAGTTTGGTGCAGCAGAGAAACCAAATATAGAAGAAAGTCAAGAAAACATCAAATAGAGAATACCCTTTCTAAATTATAATCCCATTTCAGTTTCCTGTTCATAACGTATATATGTCATTAGTTGCGAACATATTTTTAATATTTTACAATATTTAAATGTAATATTTTCAAGAATTCATACTGAATAAAAGCCAAGAAAAAAAATGAAATGAAAAAAATGAATTTTTATCAGTTAATAATTAAGTATAATAAAAATGATATTTATAAAAGATTTCTTTCTGTTGCAAACACAGCAAATTGCAATATTAAAATTTAATGGAACAGAAATTAAAAAAAAAAAAGAGAAAAACATTATATTTCATAAATTGGATTAATTTTGATTCCCATCTCAGATCAATAATTTTTTGTTTTTCATTCAATTTTGTTTAATATATTTTTGTAATTTAGGCAATTTAAATTTTGTAATTTAATATCATTATTTTAGGTATCATAATAAAAAAATTAATTTGTGCGAATGGCAAAGTGCACCTAATGCAATCATCAAAAGAATTTAAAAGGAATTCATAGAATATTTGTAACAAATTAATATATTTATTATACGAAATAAATTCAACACAAAATCAATTAAAATTAGCCAGCACAAACTTTTACTTAGAAAAATTTGTCAGTGGAATCGTAGAAAATATTTTAGACATTTTCACTTACTTATTTTTAATACTTACTACGTTGCCATTAAAGAAAAGTTGCCATTAAATTCTCCTAAATAAAATTATAATTTCATTTAAAAAATATTTTGTTCAATAGAAATGAAATTAAATGAAAGAAAAAAAGAAAAACAAAGGAGTTTGACGAAATAATTTCTTCCTTCTTAAATCTAATTATTCAGATAAATTTGAGAGTAATACTTCAAGATTAAGTCATAATCAAATACATGCCAAATTTTTATTTTTAGTTTTATTATTTTTATTATTTTTCATCACTTTTAATTTCATATCGTCGATAATAGCATTAATTTGATTGCTATCAAATTTTAATAAATATTTAATTAAATTAAGCTCAATGAACAACAAAAATAACAACAATAAATTTATTGTTCATATCGAAAAGTTTTTCATTCGGATTTTTTGCGTAAGTTAAGCGGAACTTTCCTTACGTGGGATTTGTTTCAAATTGCCTCTTTTACGATTAAGTTGTTTCACATTAACAATGACAAGTATTACTGACAGAATTGTAAATATCGCTGAAATAATAATAATTTATAAATTTACTCAAAGAAGATTATTGGTGTTTTGTGGGTTGTGAAAATTTAAATTATGTTTTAATCAGACTTCTTTATTCTTTTCCTTTTCTAAATTCTCTACTAATATTCAAATTGTAAATTTATGTTTTAACGGTAATGGAAAATCAAATTATCGCTGCAACCTGTGTGTTAGTAAATTATGCGCAAATCAAATTTTTAAAGCAAATTAAAATCTTAAAAATTAACCAAGAATAATCATTGTCCATGTTGTCGTCATTGGATCATCTTTTTCTAGCCTGAAATTTTACTTACTTTAGAGTCAGAGTTATCAGTATGCTTTACTATATAATATGTATAATAAACTTAAGAATAAGGCATCGAAAAAAATATTTGGAGAAAAAAGAAAAGAAATGAGCAAATGGTAAATAAGCAAATTTTTTGATACTTTGTAAATTTAAGTATAATTTTGAAATATGCATCGCTACCATCTTCAGCCATAGTTGCCATTCCAACATACGGCCATCGCGTATCATCCTCATGAGCGCCTTAAAATTGAAATCGATAATTATACTTATATGTATCCATATCTTTCATTAAAAAAAACATGTAATTACCACAACGGAAAGTAATCAAATATAAGTTAATTTGCAGTATATACGTGAATGTATACATGAATAGCAAATTTATGAGCAATGTGCCATGAATTCCCTCCGTAGATATTTCCTTTTATTAAAGAAACTTGCCTTTATGTTCTTGTAAATTGTGATCTGTTCTGGTAGTCGCATGGAACACCTTGCTTCAGGTGTATCTCAACCGAAGAGTTAGACAGGTGTGTGTCTAAGAAATTATTAGCTTTATGTGTAAAGGACAGTTCTAAGCCTGGTAGAAGCTCATCTAAGAGGATACTTCACACAGACGAACCTAGAATTTCGCCATCTCAGAGTTTTCTAGAGAATTAGTAATAACATAAAATAAGGTTGTATTCTCGCATGAGTCATATTACATTATTTTCAATACATTTCTGCGAAGAGTAATGACAGAACTCAATGAGGGAATCGTATCACGGAAGTGTATCGTATCACGAGGGTATCGTATCACGGAAGTGTATCGTATCACGAGGGTATCGTATCGCGGAAGTGTATCGTATCACGAGGGTATCGTATCGCGGAAGTGTATCGTATCACGAGGGTATCGTATCACAGAACTCAATGAGGGAATCGTATCACGGAAGTGTATCGTATCACGAGGGTATCGTATCACGGAAGTGTATCGTATCACGAGGGTATCGTATCACAGAACTCAATGAGGGAATCGTATCACGAGGGTATCGTATCACAGAACTCAATGAGGGAATCGTATCACGAGGGTATCGGAGGTGTTTTGTATCACGAAAGTATCGTATCACGGAAGTGTATCGTATCACGAGGGTATCGTATCGCGGAAGTGTATCGTATCACGAGGGTATCGTATCGCGGAAGTGTATCGTATCACGAGGGTATCGTATCACAGAACTCAATGAGGGAATCGTATCACGGAAGTGTATCGTATCACGAGGGTATCGTATCACGGAAGTGTATCGTATCACGAGGGTATCGTATCACAGAACTCAATGAGGGAATCGTATCACGAGGGTATCGTATCACAGAACTCAATGAGGGAATCGTATCACGAGGGTATCGGAGGTGTTTCGTATCACGAAAGTATCGTATCACGGAAGTGTATCGTATCACGAAAGTGTCGTATCACGGAAGTGTATCGTATCATGAAGGTATCGTATCACGGAAGTGTATCGTATCACGAAGGTATCGTAGCACGAAGTGTCGTATCACGGAAGCTTATTCGATTTCAGATGACTCAAAAAACATATCAAAACTCTGCATCGAGAGCTACTAATTACTTACCACGGATAGGTTAGTACATGTATGTATAAATTAGCATACCAATAATCAATAAGCTTTTTTTATTTGGTGCAATAGCAACACGTTGTAATGAGCATGATAACTGATAGTTATAATCAGGTACTTGATAAGACCCTGATTTCCAAATCACCTAAAATAGATTTCTAAATCACCTGAAATACTTAATACATACTACAATTATTATTTATAATTTGTTTTTGTTTAATATGTAATAAATAATGAAAAAAAAAAAAAAACGAAGCTGTAATAGTGCAATAATTTACATCTGATTATTTTAGATTGATATTTATTATAAGTACTAGTTAAATACTTTGGTAATTGTTCCAAAAATTGTTTCATTAATATTAATCAAATAATTATATCCAGATTTCAATGAACCATAATTTTCAAGAGCATTTATATAAATTTCTTCATTGAATAATTCCGCACTACATCCATCAAATTCGCTCTTCGATGATTGTGCAAATTTCAATGGACGCATTTTCCCAGTAGAAATTCGTACCTATAAGTTATTTTGATACAAAAAATTTATAAATTTATTTAAAACAATTTCTTGAGAATTTTCTTCCCTAAAAAAAATTAAGAGCTTACTTTCTTACAATGTCATAAATATATGCTTAACTTATGCAATATTATTTGCTTAATGATAAATTTAATTTATCAGTTAAATAGCATTTTTAAAATAGTTGTTATTGTTTTATAAATATTAATTTAGCCAAATTTAGCAAAAACATGAATAGAAAAAAGTTCACTTTTTGTGCATCTTGGCGACATTTCTCGAGAATATTGCAATCTAATTTTTGTGCTAACTCATCACAACTTTCTGATTCCACAAATAATCCTAGCCGACCTTTCATTTTTTTTATCGCATCATTTTTTCCAATCATCTGCATTAATCAGTATTATTTGTCGAAATTTTTTTTTCTACAAAATAATAAAAGTTTCATGCTTGATAATTGTTTAAAATATTTGCTTAATTCATTTAGCAATTAAGCAAAAAACAAAAAAAAATTGGAATTAAAATGTTAACTAAATTTTTCTTTAATTATAATCGCTATTATAATTTTTTTTTAAAAAATCAATTATAGTAGTGCTGTTTTAGTGTTGTTTTATCCTGCTTATATCAACATTTTGCTAACAATAAAAAATTATAGTTAACAAAATGAAGAAATTAATTAAAACTTTTCCAAAAAAACTGTAAAATTTAAAAATTAAAACATAGTAACAATTCAATTAGTCGAATTTTTTTTTCCTAAATAATTATAAAAATTCTCATTTTCTCTTTCTGAATTTCACATTATTTCATTCCGATTTAAATTAAATATTATATTTCATTTAAATTACTATCTATCAAGTTTCTATTTAGTATTAAGCGTTTAGAAACACAATACCTTATCAATGAGATGCTGTCGTAATTTTCTCCAGTAAGCATCAGTGATCATTAAGGTAGAATGAATGGGAATACCTGTGGTGAAGTATGGATCTGAACTAAGGTATTTATCAAATGTCATTATCACTTCTTCCATGTATTTTTCATCTACTGAAACATTGAGTGACAATGTTACCTGTAATAATTTAATAATTATTGTTTTATAATATATAAATTTCATCAAGGATTTAATCAAAATTACCTATCTAAACATTTAAGCAATTAATTTTTTAATTTCAACAGACAAATTCATTTATCTTTTCTCTGCTCATTTTACTATTTCAAATTTTTTAAATCCTTTTTTATTCTAATACAATATCTTTTAAAATTCGTTTAATTAGTTTGCTTTACTATTTTTAGCCTCCTACTTTTATTGTCCATGCAACACTTACATAAATTAAGTTACAAAATTAAAGTATCAATCAAAAAATATTAAATTATAACACTAGAATTATAATCACTTCACCCTTAAGATTAATTATTTAAAAATAAGGCATAAACTGAAACAATTTGAATCATAAAATTCAAAATCAATTGCATAGTCTAAGAAAATATCAAAATAAGTGAATGAAGTAAATCATAAAGAAATCAAAGTAACGAATATTGATTTAAGCAAATGTAATAAATAGACAAATTCTTTGCGCATAAATTAATTTACAAATTTAGGATTAGTTGTTTGTGTTAAAAAAGTGAAATGATTACTTTTTTTAATGGATCGATTTTAAAGAATGATAGATATGCTAAGCGAGAACGATAACTTTCTAATTTTCTGCTGCAAAAAGAGAAAAGAAAACAAATAGGAAATAGAAAAGTAAAATAAGTATTTATACTGAAGCAATTATTTTTCACTTTAATTTCTTGCTTTAAAATAAATATATTCTAAATTTATGTTCCTATTTTAGGTATTTTGAAACCCAAATAAGCAATCTCAGCATTCCATAATTTTTATATTCTTGCTATCAAAGACAATCAAAGGTTAAAGGTTATAGAGATCAGCTAAAGAAATATTAATGACTGAGTTCACAATGATTATTAATCAATAAAAAATCGAACTATTTAGATAAATTTTTTTTGAGTAAAAAAACTTTTAAAATAATAACTTTTTCTAATTAACTATTTGTTTATTAATTTTTTTTCTGGATGAAGAGAGGATGTAATCAAGATGTGATGAATAAATTATAAATACCATTCATCTTTGTACAGAGCAAATTCTCGACGACAAACACTTGCTGTACAGCAACATGCCGTACAACATGACCATTGCTCATAACCGATATCAATTTTCAAATTATATTCCAATTTTAGGATAGGATGAAAATTTGTTGGTATCGATTGATAATCACGAATACGATAACGATAATCTAATTTACCAGAATCATCTTGGCGACGCTAACAAAATTTTATAATTAATTAATCTTGTCCTATACTTTACTTTATATTATTTTATTATATATATTCAATAACTTTTTTTTTTTCACCAAATCTAAATTTATCATTTCGACTAGTACAGATGAAATTAGATAACAATTAATATAGCAAAATTATTTGGATTAATTAACAAAGTAATATTTTAATATTGATATATCGGATAAATATGGTATTAATAAATTAATTAAAAAATTTTTTGTCTGAAATCGTTAAACTTTTTACTAATTAATTATGCTTAATTTGTTTGGAAATTAAAAAAAATTTGCATTAACCTCTTGAAAAGAATGATATTTTGTTGTGCATTCTTGTTTATGCTCATCAGAAAAGTGTATACTGAATAGGCATTCCGGTTTTTCATCAACCGGATCTTCCACAAGCGTATCTACGTTAACTATGACATCCGTTTCAATCAATGTACCATCAACTTGCTAAATTACAAAAATTATTTATAAAATTAGAGAAAAAATTTCATTCAAGTTTTATAACAAAATAAAAAAAATTTTCAATTTGATTTTTAAAAATTTTTCAAATAATTAAGCGATAAAATGATAATTTAATAAAATTATATTTAATTTAGCTGAAGGTTGCAAAATTAAAACCTGTGCACAAACAATACTCATACTATTGAAATGTGGATAGTATTGTCGAAGACGTCCCGGATCCGGATTGATTCGTAAACGGCCATCAGGAATTGGTATTGCTACATCAAAATCATCCCTTTAAAGTGATTTTAAATCTTTCATTAGTTGAATTATTTTTTAAATATAACATTTTTTTTTATATTAATGTAATATTAGTTTTGATTTACCCACTGGCAACCAATCGATCCCACCAACGATCAGCAAGAAATGGTCCACGGAATGTTGTTCGTCTCTCTTCAAAATTCGGATCCGTAAATTCTACAAATTCATTTGTTGAATGAAAAATTAATTAGTACTATAAAAATTTATAGCTAATTTTTTAATTTGAGAAAGAATTCAATTGCACAACTCATTGATAATGAACCAAACTATAGTTTATTGATACTGATAATCCAACTATACAACTTACTGATAACAATTTCAACTACAACTTATCAATAATAAATCGAACTACACAACTCACTGATAATAAATTAGCCAATCCAATTATAACTGATAAAAATTAAGACATTTTCTAAATTAACAGCTGAAGCAAAAAAAAAAAAAAAGTTGTCAACATATTTGAAAAAGAACTGTTAATAAATGTTAAAATTTAAATTTCAGAAATTTCTACTTAAGCTAGAAAGAATGAAAGAAAATAAATAATTGAAATGTATATAATACTAACTTTTAGTTGCAAAATTATATAAAAATGCAGCAAATGGTATTCGATGATATTGTCGTTTTTTCAATATTTTTTTTTTTTTAATTATTTTTATTTTAGTTGTTGTCGAATAATTGGTGACAGTTTGAGTGGTTGTCATATTGGTTCTGTTGACAAATAATGTTGAAATTGTTGAAGGATGTTTTGTAGTTTGTAATCGTTGATTATTATCATTATCATTGATATCTTTATATTCATCTTCATTTTGTATGTCAGTTTCATATGCGGAAAAGGCTTCGACACGTTTATCAAGCGGAATTGACGCGAAAACATCTCTACAAAGAAAAATAAAGCGTAAACAAAACTTTGACACATTTGCAAAAATGTAAATTATTTCGGAAACTCACAACAAAAGGAAAAAATTGTTTAGGAAAAAAAATTCTTATGAACTTACTAATTTTATAAAATTCGAACCATTTTCATCAAATGATTGATTAAGCGATATTTGAAAGATATTAAAATATTATTGTATGTTATAAGCTTTAACTGTCTGTTTTTAAAATTTCTTCTACAATAAATTATTTTATATGCAATGAAATTTTAGTAGAAATTTAAATTAATTAAAAATTGATGTAAATCTTAATTTATGTCAAAATTAAAACCTTCGTGGAAGTATATAAAAGGTATTAACAATATTGGCTGATGGTAGCTTCTTCAAGCAAGTAAAACATGGTATCTGTAAATAAATAAACAACTTATCATTTAAATCTAAAATTTATTAATTTAAATTTAATAAGTCTAAAACTTTTAACTTATGGCTTTAAAAATGAAAATTTGATATTAATTTCTGTTTGAAAAAAAAGTTTTCAGTCAAATAGAATGATCATTAATTGATTATGTTAACCTAAATATTTAAAATTTAAACGATTTTAAAATAAATGACTATGTGATGTTTTTGCTAATACCCCGCGATTGCTTTATTCTGGCAATTTATCCCGGTATTTCCTTAACAATATGAAATGCTCGCAGTATATTTTACACCGATAATTGTTATTTACGTAAATTTTTGCGGAAAAAAATTCAATTAAAAAAGAAGATTGGAAAAGTTTACTTCAAAAGGCATATTTCTTTCATGCATTAATGAAATGATCCGTTGATTGCCAAATACAAACGGTGCATTCTCTTTGTGGCAACTTGAAAAAAAATTAAAATTTAAAATTTTTTAAAAAAAATTTAGTAAAATCAAATTAGTTTACTTTTTAGATACAAAATTCAAATTAAATTTTACTTATAACATGATAATATTTGGTTAAAGTCTATATTTAAAGAAAATTTAGCAAGTAAAATTATATCAATCAAATTGATAAAAATATGCCAAATTTTTCTTTGACTTCTTTTATTTCAAATTACACTTTGATTATAACATAATCAAAATTTTTTAAATAAAATTTATTGAACAAAATTATTTACATTAATTAATTTGAGCAAACAATGGATTTTGCTCGACATAATTAAATTAAATTACATTTTAAATGATATTTTAATTACACTTAGTTTATCCATTGGTTAAAAGGAAGAAAAAAAGAAGTAAAATTTGCTTCAAAATTATTTTAAAAGAAAAATTTTAAAGCTTAAAGACTAAAACTATTGCATGTAAATTTTGAAAATTTAAAAACATCGAAAAATCACAATTTTTATACTTTTTTTTCCTTTTTCTTTCTTTTTTTTTGGGATAAATCTAATGAAAGCTGAAATATATAAATTAATTAATTAAAATATATATTAAATTTTTAAAAATTAACTTACTCATTACCTAGATGGACAAGATTTCTAAAGTATAATCGCTTATGAATGATATAGCCTGCACGTTGTTGCTCATTTGCTAAAACTTCCTTATATTGCTAAAATTTTAAACTTATGTTAAAATTTTTTATCACAATTTAAAATTTAAAATTTAAATTGGTTAGTACTAATTTAAAATGTCTTAATTTTATTTCCATTCATTGACATCCATCAATAATTTATTATAGATCAATGTTAACGTACGTTATTTAAATTTTTCATCGAAATCACAAAATCAATGACATTTTGTGTTTTATATTTGATAAGAAAAAAAAGGAAAAAAAAATTTTTATATTTTACAAAAAAAAAAAAAAAATACAAACGTTAATGTAATCTGGCATTATGGTAATTTTATCATTTATAGGAATGGAAAAGTTCTGAATTGCTTGATTAATTCGAAATAATCCGAGTGGCATTGATATTTCGTAGTAATCTGGGAAACTACTGAAATTTTCTTTAATTATTAAACTTTTTATAATTATATAATTAATTTTTATAACTTTTTTTTTTAGTATTTTATCAATTATAATTACTGAAAACTTTTTTTCACTTTTTTGTTTGAGGTTTAATTGGCATTAAGTAAAGTGATAACTTTTAGGCTGATCTAGAGATCAGTTTTGATTTATCAAAATGTATCAAATGAAATCCATTTAATACTGAACACATAATTTATCAGTTCATTTACATGTTTCAGATCAGATCAATAAAGCTAATAATCAATACATAACCTATCGATATATTCTAGAATGGGTTAACATATTAGCCAATGATTAATCCTTATCATCCTAATCAGTTCGACATTATCAGTCTAATGTCCATCATACATGGCCAGTAGTGACCACTTAACAAGAAAGAGACTTAATTAATGATTTGCTTACAGTTCAGAGAAATCAATTGTTGCGGTAGGATCATTAGCTCTTTCATCAGCTGGAAAGCAGTCGAGCAGGTATTGGCGGATCATTGTTGTCATCAATATATCGGACTTGAACCATGGTAGCAAGTCTTCAATCAATTATGATTAAAATATCGATTATCGATTATTGAATTTAATAGATGCATTATTATTATTATTATTATTATTATTATTATTATTATTATTATTATTATTGTTATTATTATTTATTATTATTATTATTATTATTAATTATTGTTATTATTATTATATCAATGATTTAATATAACAGATATGTCAATGTATGTATTCAATGAATAACTAATATATCAAATAATGCTGCTTACAATTTCATCTCACTCTAATGTAAGCTTTAATTTATTATATTTCGATTTCAAGTAGGCATTTGATATAAATACTGAATTTCAGATTTACCATAAAGTGTAAAGTTTTTGATTTATACCTAATATTTAATAAATAATTTCAATTCAGCAAAATTGATACCCTTAAATTTGCGGTAATAGCTTTGTTGTTGTTGTAAATAAGTTTCAAAGTTACATTTTTGCAAATAATCCTCTTCATTTTCGAACCAACTAATTGCAAATAATTTCCTGAAATCAATAAATGATTATTAATTCAAAATTAAAAATTTTCAAATTAATTCTATAAATTATTTTTAATAAACAATTTGCAAATATTATCTCAAATTCATCTACCGTATAATTTTCTACGATTATAATCAAATAAATCATTCACAATTAAATAATTAAATAATTATTTTTTATTTTTATTTTATTTTTTTTTTTGGTTAAAGCAAACTTAATTTTTTCTACCAAAAACTTTTATCACTTAAACGTTATTTGATTCATTTGAGAAAGAAATTAATTTTTATACCATTTTTTTTTTTTTTTTTGTCCATTTGTAAATATTTTTCTTTGGCAAAAAAAATAAGCAATGTTTTGAGAGAAATAAATAAAATTAAAATTATTTCTAAAAATTGGATCAAAATTGATGCAAAATTTTACCGATTAAATTGACAAAAAATGAAAGTAACAATAATAACAGCCGCACGATTCATTGAATTTTTTGCAATTTGTTTATTATCAAATTATTTGTCCCTTTTTTCAATATATTATTTGGAAATATTTATGCAAATTTTTTTGAGTTTTATAAAACTTTGCCTTTTTTTTTTTGCAAAATTTTTTATTTAATTCAAATTTATTCACTATCATTTTTTTTTTCTATTCGGTATTGTAAAAAATTATGTTCGAATTTGATTGCTACCATTTCAATGATTTGTTTCTCTATTTTATCTATTTGCAAATTTTAATTTAATTAAATTTGTTTCAAACTTCTATATTTATTTACTATCATTTTTTTTAAATATTTTTTTATAACTTCTATATTTAATTAATTAACAGTTCATTAAGTATATTAACTAGTACTATTAATTATTTCAAATATACCATGCAAAATATGTTTTTCCGCAATAATCTTAGCATAAATTTTAGATTATCAATCATAAATTTCACTCTTTTACATTAGCCATTAATTATTAGTTCTATATTTAATTTGGTCGTATTTAATTTCATTGTATAAATAATTTTGTCATTATTAATTAATATTTGCATATTTCATTTTTTTAATTTCCATTTGTAATAATTAATTCTTCCATCTTTGCTATTAATTTATTTAATTTTTTATTTAATTTTAATTCACACTTTATTCATATTTTATATTGTTTCTTTGCTTTTGTTTACTTAAATTTTTGAAATTTCATCTAATTCATTGGAAATGGCATAATTTATTAATGACTGTATCACTACTATTTATAATCTTTAATATATAAAATTGACAAAATTTAAAATGAAAATTTTTTAAAAATGATCTTTTTTCTTGATTAATTATTCTGTAAATGTTCAATTTAATCAATAATTTTGCTAACATACTTTTCTATTTATCATTTTAATTACCACCCATTATTACATTAAAAAAAAAGCTCTCTCATTAATTTAAAAAAAGTAAAAAAAGAATGAAAATTCATCGATTTTATCATTAATCATATCAAAAAACATTAATCACTCAGTAATTTTTAAGAGAAATTTGGTGAAAGAAAATAATATATAAATAAAAATAAAATAAAAAAAAAAAAAAGAACAAAAAGCAACAAAAACAAACAAACAAATAAACAAATAGGCAAAGCAGGTTTAGTTGACATGGATGCTGCATACATCATTGTCAACCATTTTCAGTTATTATTTTGTCGCCTTCTATTATTACTAACTTTCTTCACCAATTATTTATTTCAACAAATTGTTATTGGTAAATTTCGTTTTGCATATATTAGTGTTACAACAGGTAATCAATTCTATTATTAAATTAATTAATTTGCTTTTTTCAAAAATCTCAGTAAAACATTTTTTTTTTCCTTTTATAATTTACAATTTCAATATGTAATTCTTTTCTTTTTTTTTCATTTATGTATCAGATTTTAGTGAAATTTCTTTTTTCAGTAAACAATTATAACAAATTTAATTAACAATTTTTTTTTTTTTTTTTGGCTCTATGTTTTACAATTTTAACAAAGTATTTTATAAGTAATTTTATTTTATAAATTTTATACATTAATTCTTAAGTTTTAGTTGCCAAATTTGCATCTTATCCTTTGAATTTTAATTTAATTCCGATTAGGTGTTAAAATATGCTCCAGGTTTGTTAATCTTTTTAAAAAAAAAAACAGATTTGTTTACAAATATCATAAAAAAAATGGTAAAGTAACGAACTAAAAATAATTATTTATATCATTAAAAAAAAAAGTCATTTCTTTTGCATTGAATTTAATTTCATTTCAATACCGCGTTTAATTTTTTAATTTTTTTTTTTTAGAACCAAAAATACGTCAAATTGAACCGTGGCAGAATGAGCTACTAGCAAATATTTGTGGCAAAATATGTCTTTCATTCAAATTTTTTTATTTTTTAAAAATTTTTATTTTGTAAAATCTATTTCTGCTAAGCTTATTTTAATATGATAAATTCATTTTATTTTATTTATTTTATAAATTCATTTTACTGATTATATGCAGCAAATTACCGATTAAATCTATTCATTTTACCATAATTAATTATATTAATTAACTAAATCAATTAATCTTAAATACATTGCTAATGAATAATTTATTGTATTTATTATTTTTATTTTTTTAAATTTCCACTACAAATGTGACTAATATAATTTGCTACAGTAATTAGATGGTACAACAAATTTAATACTAATGAAATAAGTTTCTAATCTAAAATTTTTTTTTGTAAATTTTTATTGTAATAAAGTTTATTATAATAATAAATAAATAATCTTTTGGCAACTTTCAATTAGTAATCGTTATTTTGACCATTTATTTTAGGTTTCATCAAATGGTTCACTTAGCTATCCATGGGCTATTTCTGTAGCATTAAATGTAAGAATTTCAAATATCATTGATAAACATTTAATTATTAAATTAATTAATTTATATCAAAATTATTATACAGAAAATGTAAGTGAATAATTTGTTTAATTCTTTTTTTTTTAAAAAAAAAAATTTACACTGTTTATATTTTATATTAAGGTAAAGAACCAGTTTGAAATTTCAAACATACTTCACTTTCTTTCATTGTTTCTTCTTCATCATTTCATTTTATGTCATTTCAAATTTATGGTACAAAATTTTATTTCCAATGATCAATAAATAATGTAATAAAGAAATAAATCAATTTAAAAAAAAAAAGACGGAAAACAAGAGATTAAGCAAAGATCATAAATTGCTAATTGGAATTTTACATAAAATCGAAATATTTTATATAGGGAAAAAAACTATAAAAGTAGAAATTACGTAAATAATTTTTTTTTGTGTGATTTCAAAATCTCAAAATGTCTTAGAAAATATGTAAATTTTTAGTAAACAATCAAGTTTTTAAGCGTTTATTTGAAAATTTCAAAAGTTTAATTTTAATAATTTTCTGTTTTCTTCTTCTTCTTCAAAAAAAAAGAAAATTTGTAGGGTACAAATAAACTTGGTGGTGTAATCATATCACCTTATCATATTCTTACTGCAGCACATCCATTTGTTAAATTCAACGGATACAGTATTATTCCATGCAAGTAAGTAATAATATTCACCCTTTGTCACCAAAATTTTTATTATTAATTATTCAAACAAAATTATTTTTATTGAAATTTTTTGTGATTAATTATTTAATTAAAATTATTTTTAAAAAATTATTTTAAGTGCTAAATTAATATCACTTGGACTGAGAAATGAAAATAAAACAAAAAGACGAAAGTGAAAAGTGTGAAGGAAAGAGAAAGAAAATAAAGATTAAATTTCAATTACAATAATTTTTAAACTTTAATTACGCATGATATTCTATCATTTAATTAATCAAAATGATGTTTTTATTTCTTTTTTTTCTTATTTTTTTTTTTTAATTAAATTATTTAATTTTTTAATTGAAATATAAGCACTCTTCATTATCAATAATTTTACTGTCGTATATCATTTTCACATTTTTGTTTCATTTTTTTTTTCATAATAATTTCAATTCATCAATCAAAATTTCTAAAATTTTAATTTTAAATTATAAAACTATTTAAGATAACCAATTTTTCAACTTTTAAATTGTATGCATTATTATTTAATCTTTGTCAATGCCTTCAATTAATTTTTTTCCTTACTTATTAATTAAAGAATTCATAATTAATTAGTTATTTGAATTAATAAAATTTTAGAACTAATACCTATCGTAGTATTACCGAATTATTAAATCGTAAAATTTTATTTGGTGGCAAATGCATCCGCGGTTTCACAGCTAATAGAACAAATCATCCAGCATGTGAAGAAGCGGATGTATTCAATAATACGGTATAAAATCTCTTTATGAATAATAATTTTTTCTTTTTTTTTGAATAATTTCAAAAAGAAAAAAAAATATTTCAATTTTAATACTTAATTAATTAATTAACTTAATTAACTTATATGATTGTTTAATTTCCTATTTCCAATAATTTTTTATACATAAAAAAGGATAATATAAATCGAACAAAAACTATTTTCTTCCTAAATTATTAATGAATTGATTAATTATTCTTAATCAAATTTCAAATATTCAAATATATATTATTTTTTTTTCGTTTTTTGCTATCAAAACATATAATTCGATTATCAAATTATCATTAAAAATTGAAATATTTGACATTTAATTGTAGGATTTTATTTTATCATCGAATTACATATATATGTATTATTTGCTATTTTTTTTTTTTAATCGCACAGATTTGAAAGATGATTGTTGATAATGATTTTAGATTTCCAGAACAATTATTAATAATTCAAAATTTGGATTCAAATATAAAATTTTGATAACATTTTAAATTAACACATAATTTGTTGATTGACAATGATTTCCATTCATAGTATATAATTATTGATAGCGATTTAGATTCGCACAATAATTGTTGACAATGATTTTATAAATGAAAATTGTACAAATGGTCATGACTGGGCAATTATTGAAGTTGAACAACCATTTGTATTTACGGATAAAATAAAACCAATATGTTTACCATTGAAAAATGAAAAGTTGCAAAATATTTTAATGATCTTTGGATGGGGACGAAAAAATTGTAAGTATTACTAGAGATTATAGTAGTTGGATAATTATTGATAGCTTATAAATAGTTTAATATTTAATTCTTTCAATATAATCTATACAAAAAGATTTTTTTCTTATTTTGTGATGAATTAATTTGATAATACAATAAAATATATTAACTTTTGTTATACAGTAATAATTTTTTTTTTAGATATTTTAATGGAAGTACATATTGAATCCAAAAAAAAAAAAAATTGAAAATGCAATGTTTTAAAAAGTAAATGTTAAGAAAATAGCTTAAATTAGCATAATTATTAGAATTTATAATAAAATGTAACAAAATAATTTATCACTTAAAGCATTCTCTGATGGCAGTCCATTAATTCATGAAATTCCAATGCAACTTGACACGAATTGTAAAGCATCTTGGAGTGATATAATGCCAACAAAAGTTCATGATTATATATGCATGAAATCATTAAATCCAAAATATGTCAACACACCACGTATTTGTTATGTATGTATTATCTTTCATATTTTAATTATATAAATTTGAAATTTATTCAATCATTTTATATCTTAATATTTCTCTCATAAAAAAAAAAAAAAACATAATTTCTTTTTTTTTAAAAAATAGTTTTTTCATCTCTGCGTAATTCAGTTCAACACAATTTGCACTTAGTATTTTACTAGAAACTTAATTAGCAATTTTTTTCAAAAAAAAATTAAAACAATTTTATAGGGTGATAGTGGCAGTGGCATGCAACAATTTAATGCTAATGGAAAAGCGACAGTTGTTGGTATTACATCGTATGGCTTAAAAGGATGTCCACCAAATGAACTTGCTCGATTTACACGAGTTGATTGCTACCTGAATGAAATATGTCAAATAACAGGTGTTTGTTATACAGTCAAAAATTTAATTATTTAAATGAGAAAAAATGGAAGAGTGATTTTAATTTTAATTGTAATAATCATGTTTATTTATTTTCTTTTTCTCATGAGACAGTGATTTTTCATTTCTTTATGTAAATCTAAAATTTGAGATTATTTTTTCTACCTGAGATGTTTTGACGTATCATTTCTTGCATAAATCCATAAAATTTAGATTTGTTTTTTACATTTTTTGTAAAATTGTAATTTATTATTTCTTGCAGTTCACTTTTTGAAATAATTAAAAGGTAAGAAAAATAATGCATAATTTGCAAAAAGAACTAAAATAAATAAATTTATGATGATAAAATTTGCAAAAAAAAAAAAAAAAAAACTAAAATAAATAAAAAAAAATTAAATTTATGATGAACTTTAACATTTTCATATTTTTACAGCAAAATTTATAATTGTATTTGTATGTAATATTTGTATTTGTATATAGTATTTATCCATTTGATATTATTGCAAGCTAATAATGAATTATTCTAAAATTTATATCGTTTTTAAGTTCACACTGTTACAAGCTTTATATGAAATGCTTAATTAAATAAAGCGAATAAACAAATAATTGGTAGGTAATTAAACTTATCAGCGCAATTCATAATTTAGTGATAATATGGCACATTCTATTACTTTATTATCTATAATACTTAACAGTTTATTTACTAAAAAGCCGTACTAAATGTTCAAATTGAAATCCACCAGAAATCCCCAAAGGTCACAGAAAGACAACTCAGAAAGACTAATCGAATAGCTGCACCAAATGCTCCAAGGAACATTTCTTAGCTAACAAGTAGTTTCCACATCAATGTTGTCAGCTGATGACGGGGTGGGGAGTTGAACCTGCCCACCATATGCTCACGAGTGCGTAGACCACTATACCAACAGTCTGACCAGCTAACCCTTCACGAGACATAGATAAAGTAAAAATAATTGTAGTAGTTGGTAATAAGTAGTAAGTCAACAATTTAACACTGTAAGCTAATACTCGAATATCACTGTCATATCACTATAACACAATGGACATCATTACAGTATCACTATAATATCACTATAACACAATGAACATCATTACAGTATCACTATAATATTGAATATTATTACGATATCACTATAACATCATTGTAACATTGCTGAAAAATACCTAAATAATGATTGTTGATAAGCTATGTTTTAATCGCTGCTAATTAACAGTAACTACAAACAGCTATCACTAGTGATAACTTTATAAAGCAGGATTATCAACTGCTATAATGGAAAAACTAAAAGGAAGTATTAATTAATTTGGATAAATTCAAATAGCAATTTGCAACTTCCGTGATGAGTTATTTTTAATTTCGATTTTAAAAAACATATTATTAATAACTATTTCAAGAAAAAATTAAGAAAAGTAAAAAACACTTTACAGTTTTAAATTATGACAAATAAATACTTTT